ATCCCATCCCCTTGTGTACACACATCCCCTATCCCATCCCCTTGCACACACACCCCATCTCTCCCCCTTGCACACACACACCCATCCCTCCCCCTTGCACACACCCCCATCCCTCCCCCTTGCACACACACCCCATCCCTCCCCCTTGCACACACACACCCATCCCTCCCCCTTGCACACACACCCCATCCCTCCCCCTTGCACACACACCCCATCCCTCCCCCTTGCATGCTTTGCTGAACCATCTGAATGCTTCTGGACTGCTCCCTGTCGGTTGTCCCCTTCTGGGTGCTGGGACAGCCTCTGTGAGGAAAAGCAGACCACTGCATGTGGGCGGTAATGGTGATGCAGACAGACAGACAGACGCATAGTGATCAGAGACATAAAACTAAATTTTAGCTGCAGGAATGCGAAGCCCTGGCACTGGGCTGGGAAGAGGTGTCTGAGCTCAGGTCTGAAGGCAGGAAGAAGCCACAAGTGCAAAGGCCCTGCGGCAGGAGGACCTTGTGTTTAGGAGGAACAGGGGAATCCTCTGTCCACGACCTCCTGCACTTTTCTCCCTAGAGACACTGCTCTCTGCCCATCCCACCCCTCCAGTCTTCCTAGCCCAGCTCAAATGCTCCCTGCAGGAAGCCTCTCCCCTGGGAAAGCAGTAGTCTGCACTGGTGGGCGTTCCTGGGTCTCATTCAGGCCGCTGTGATACAGGCTATGTATCTACGTTCTACCCTGTACCTACGGTGGACATCCTTACAGGCAGAACCGTTTGCTCTGGGCTGGACTCAGAGGCCAGGGGTGCCAGGGGTCCTAGGGGTCCCAGGCTCAAATCAAGAGCTGAGCTGCTTAGTGGTGGGACCGCTCTTGTGTTTGCCGCCGACCCCCCCCCCCCCACACCTTAGCCTACTCACTGGTAACGTGTGAGGGAGGGCTCTATGTGGCTGCCCAGCTCCTGACTGGGCTGTGAGATGAGGGGCTTTTCAGAGCACTTGGAATGGAGAAAAGTGGGAAAGGGAATAAGGCCCAGGGCGCAAAGGGACTCGGGCTCCGCTGGACTCAAGTTTCTCAGAGTTGAGTCCCTCAGTAAACACCAGATGCCACTCCCAGGCTCTCCCTCAGGAGGCCTGGATGCAGACCGGGAGCCTGTGTTCCGAAAATCTCCTGTCTGGTCCTGGCAGTGCACAGTTTAGTGGGGGAAACCGAGACCCAAGTGAGGAAGTGACTTCATGGGTGCAACAGAAGGCTGAGTCTCTGGTTTTTGCCCAGGAACAGCAGGGCCCACTCTCTGAAGGCAAACACACCTCCCACCCCCTTGGTGCTGGCCTTGGCCGTGGACTTGCTGTGACTGCTGAGGGATGCCGTGTGGCTCCTGCCACACGCCCACCCTTCACCTGGAGAGAAATGAGCCCGAGGAGGGTGCTGAGTCACAAAAGAGCCTGGAGAGAGAGCCTATACCATGGATGCCTGCTCAGCATAGTAGGCCCCACAAGGGGAGGCAGCGACCCACAGGGTCCCAAGTGAGAGAGAACACAAATGCTACTCTTGTCTACTGAGCCCTGAGGTGGTTTTTTTACACGGCGTCACTGCAGTAATAGCTGGCCATTACACTAAGGACATACGCAAACAAATGCCAAAGCCAGGACGGAAAACCAGGTCCTCCTGTGTATGTGTGCCTTCATGTGAATGCATGTGTGGAGGCCAGAAGTTAACCTTGGGTCGTTCGTCAGGTACTGTCCGCCTGAGACAGGTCTCTCATTGGTCTGGACTTGCTGTCCAGTGGACTCTGGGGATCCTCCTGTCTCTGCCTCCCTAGCACTGGGATTAGAAGCTTGGACCACTGCACTTAGTGTTTATGTCAGTTCTGGAGACTGGACTCAGGTCCTTGTGCCTACAGTTAGCGATTTACCTACCGAGTCATTCCCCCAGCCCCTCCTTCTGTTTTTCAATCCTGAGGGCTCCCCCAGTCCCTCCTTCCAGAAACGCCTCCCCTGCACCCCCTTCTCTGAGCATGTCCAGTTTTAGACAGGAGAGACCCTTCTCAGCAGCCCAGGCCCCACCCTTTGCAGCTAAGCACCGAGGCTCTTAGCAACAGCTCTCCCCTTACCCTGGGCACCCAGTAGGTGCTGGGGAGGCCCCCAGAGCCCCGGAAGAACTCTGGAAATTTCCTTTCTGCCTTCTCCCAGTGGAGAAGCATGGCTCCTTCCCATTGCTGTTGCCAGGGCTCCAGCTGAGTTTTCTCAAGACAGAGAGACTCACCACTGAGCCCCATGGGCTGTTGGGTATCTTCTGAGGTTCTGTGAGGTGTCTTGCCCCTCTGGACCCCAATCTAAGGGTAGCTCTATGTTCTTATAGCAGTTCACTGTTCTAAACAACTGGATTTGGGGGTACATTTGTTACTTAGCATTACCATCTCAGTAGCTGACTAATACACCCCCCCTCACACCAGCCAGTTACATCTCACAGTCCCATGAGAAGCTATATTCCTTCTCAGACACAAGAACAGACAGTAGAGCCACGTTTATAGTCAAATATAGGTCTTTTCCATGCCCCAGGGCTGGACATACACATGCTCACAACAGCTCACGCAAATAAGTTACAGACCCCAGGCGTATATCTTTAAAACATAGTTATCAAAACACATGGAATGGCAGGGCCACATGTTCAGACACAGAACATCAGACCCACAGTCATACTCTAGCACTGAAGTCCCTTAGTCTCAGTCATTCCTCAGGCTTGAGACCTGACCTCCCCGACTGTCATCAGGGTGCCTAGGGATGCAGTGGGTCCCCTTTCTTCCTTGAGGTCCCCTTCATCTCTGTCCTGGATTCCCTTAATTCTGCAAACTACAGTTGCAACAGCCTACCTCCTCCAGGAAGCCTTCCTGGCCTGCCCTGAACCTCTGATTCCAGGATCCCTGTAATTTCCCATGAAAGGTAAGCTGAAGAGTGGCTTCCTTCTCCCCTGTAGCCTGTAGCTCTGTGGGGAAGAATTCATTATTCAGCAAAAGTTGCTGAATGAATATACCAGGGACACACACTGCCTACTCCATGGTGCCATAATCACCTTGGTTGTTCCATGGAGCCCACAGTGTGGGGTGTTCCTGGGAAGCACCGCTTAGACTTGTTAGTTGGGGGAGGGGGCGGCTGAAGGGGGATCAGGGGCTGTTGCTAGGACTGTGTTGCTTGGTACCTTTTCACCTGAAGGGAAGCAAGGTGGACCATGGAAGAGATTCATAGAGCCACAAAGACTATTGTCAGAGAGGAATTCCGGGAGAGACACTTCTAGGAGCAAACCTGTCCTGGGGTTAGGCTAGAGGGGGCTAGGTGTGCCTTAGGAAACACCAATGGAACCTGCTGGAAGTCCCTCAGAGGCCGCAGAGATGACATCTCACTTTCAGTAAACACATGAGGCCACCCAACCAGGCCCAGGCACTCCCACCTATCTGGATCAAGCATCTCCATGCTCTGGGGCTCCTCTCTCTTTCCTGACTCAGCTTGGGCCGAGCGGGGAGACATTCAGATCATCGAGAGTCCCGTGGATCGGATGCCCACGGTCTGCATCACTCAACTCTCCTTCAAGAGGGAAACATTCTTGCATCCCTTAATCCACCACATGCCAGGTCTTCTTGTAACACACGCACCACAAAAGGCAGCTGTTATTATACACCCCAATGCAGAGGGTCACTTTGTCCCCTTGAGAGTGTTGAACCACAGGCAAAACTTTTTTTTTAAGTGTCAGAAAGCAAATCTATGTTCTGCACATACTAGGCAAGTGATCTACCACTGAGCTACACCCCCTACACCCCCAGCCTAGCTGTTGATTTCTGGAGACAGGATCTTGCTATGTAGCACAGACTAGCCTCAAATTTACAATCCTCCTGCTTCAGTCTTCTTAGTGCTAGGATGATGGATGGACACCACCATCTTAGCGCATGAATAGTCTCTGAAGAGAAACTGCCTCAGTTATCACCTTAAGACCAGCAGGGTACTGCATAGCACAGGGTGACAGTCCCTTCCCCCTGTACCCATGGGGCTCACCTGCTTGGTTGGTGGTGATGTTCACAGAGGCGAACTGGGGTGAGAAGGGGCTCTGGTCGGTGACGCCATTTACAGCCTGGATCTCGAAGGTATACTGCGTGTGTGCCAGCAGATCACTGATGTAGATGCGTGGCTCGGTCAGGCCCAGCTGGCGGGGTGCATACTGCACGTTGTCCCCACAGCGGGTGCAGGCGCCCCGGCCGGAGCCGCAGCTCTTGCAGATGATGTTGTAGACAAGATCCTCACGGCCCCCCGAGTCTCGGGGTGGGGTCCACTCCAGCATGAGGGACGTCTCGTTGACGCTAGAGATCACAGCCTGGGGCGCCGAGGGGATGGCTACAGAGGGGACAGGAGGGTCAGTGGAGGCGGTGGGTACTGTCTCCATCCATGCCCACTGCCTCCCCCAGCCCTGGCCCCCTAAAAGGCTTCCTCCAAGTCTTTCCATTGGCCCAAAGAGGCTTCTAGAATATGTTATCCTGCTGAGAATCAGCATCTGCTTTCCTCCAGGCTCCAGCCTCTTCAGTATTTGATCCTGGAGACAGTGTTTTCATGTTTGGGATGATCAAACAGGCTATCACCTTCTCTCCCTCCCATCCTCTCTTCCTTCCTGTGTGTTGCATATGTGCTTCAGTGAGTAGAGGTCAGAGGACAACTTTGTGGAGCTGCTTCTACCCTTCCATCTCTATGTGAGTTCTGCTGATTGAATCAGGTCATCATGCTTTCGGGGCAAGCCCCTCCACTCACGGAGCCCTCTTGCTGGCTTTCCCTTTATAACTGTTTACTGAGGGTGGTAATTTGTGTATCTGAAAGATTACACTTCCCAGCCTTTGTGACTGCATACCGGCCACTGACCAAGGGCAGAAGTTGTTGAGCAGTGTATCTTATGTGTGTGGATGTGTGCATGCACGTGAGTGTGCGGATATATGCATGTAAGTATGTGTATGTGTGTGTGCATGTGACTGTATATGTGTGCAGACATGTAAGTATGTGTATGTGTGTGTGCATGTGACTGTATATGTGTTGCATGCACATGAGTACATGGACGTGTGTGCCCATGTGGAGGTTGGAGCAAGAGCATCAAATATCTTCCTCTGTCATTCTCAACCTTGTTTTAGGCAGGGTCTCCCACTGAACTGGAAGCTCACTATTCCACTAGGCTGCCTGGCCAGCTAGATCCTGGGATCAGCCATTCTCCACCCCGAGTGCCTGCCTTTTACATGGGTGCAAGGGATTTGAACCCAGGTCCTCATGCTTGCAGAGCAAGTGCCCTTACCCACTGAGCCATCACTCCAATCTCCCTAGAGCTGTGTCTTAAAATGGAGATAGACGGCTACGTCAAGTCTTTTCTTCTCTTTTCTGCTGCTGCATGCACGCATGTGCACATGTGTGTGTGTGTGTGTGTGTGTGTGTGAGAG